CATTTGTTAAGCACATGGTATTCTTGTCTTCAGACCTGTACAAACTTCAAGCCCTTGTGAGTGGCATTCGTTTGAGGGGGTGTGTTAGTGTTGTGGTATATGATCCACAATTGAACCTCTCCCAGCAACTCGAGTTATTGGGACCAACTGGTTCTTGACAGGATCCTCATATCCAGACCATTGCTCAAACGGACTTCTCCTTTCCCCGTGAAACAGAGGATACCCTTCGGAGCATAAAGAAGCACATAGAGGTCATTGAGCAAGCTTGTTCACAGTTTTCTCAAGACAACCTTTATGCTGCCATACAAGTAGAGGAGAAGGAAGAAGAAGGCAATCATGAGGATGTTGAGGAGCATATAGAATTGGTCACGGAATGCTCCCATGATAATCATGATCAAGTGTATCCTCTGGTGGTAGATCACAACTTTCCCCATTTCCGCTCTGACATGCTGGGACTGAGCGAGGAGATGCAAGCTGAACTTATTGAGAACCTTGCATGGCGACTTGCTCTCCAATCCATTATGGAATAAGAAGAGAGAGAAAGGGTGAGGAAAGAAGTTGTGGAGGATGAGAAAAAAAGCAAAGAAGAGGTAGTTCTTGATCTTTTCCAAGGAGAGAGACCATATTTTGAAGAAGGAAGGGGGGTTGAAGAAACGAGTGGTGTCCAGGCTAAGGATGAAGTTGAGGTGGAAGAGGCTTGCACCGGCCCTATAATACAAGTAATATCTCTACCAAACTTCAAGGAACTGCTTAGCAAGGACCCATTTGCAGTGTCTCTTTGCCAGGCCAATGCCACATCGACATCGGTCCCTCTTGGTGGACGCGATGGTGGTCAGTCGATACAGTTATATTTGGTTTGGGGCAATGAGACAAGAGAAGAAACGAGGAAGAGGTCTCGAGGGTGGAGACTTCAGATGCATCAAGTGCACGAGCCTTCATCACCTGTCATACCACATTTTCGTGACTTGAGACTCCACCTCATGGACGAGAACCTCAACTTCAAGGAGGTTTAGGGGTGGACTGAAACTTAGGAGCCATCGTCCGGCTCATGACGTGAAAGAAGCGCTTGTTGGGAGGCAACCCAACCAGTCGGTTTGCATTTCTTTCCCTATTTCTCCTTGGTTGAGTCAGTTTTTTTCTTTGATTTTAGAGTCAATAACTCAACCTTTGTGAGATTTTGTGTGGTGTTTGTGTTCTGACTACTCTCTCCTCCTGGAATGCACCACCTGCTTCATTCACCATCATTCACACTTGATCTGGTAACTTCGTTCTACCCTACTTATCTATCCTCCATTGAGGACAATGTCGTGCTTATGTGTGTGTGTGTGTGTGTGTGTGTGTTGGGGGGGGGTGTTCGATTATGTATGCGTGTGAATGTTTGGTTGTATGTGCGTGTGCTTGGAGCCTAGTCTGCTGTACAAATCTCGAGATTCAAGGCCTCCAAGTACTGATGTTTGCATGATCATATTGGCACTCCTGCTCGTTTCTTTCTTGTGCGATAGATCCCTCTTCCATGATGTGTAGCATTCACGTTGTCACTAGCTAAGATGATGGAGGCATAGGATTAGCCCACGACCAAATTGACCGTCCTGGTGTGTCATACCCCCTAGTCAGCCCCTTTGAGCCGTTTACTTTTCTTTCTTTCGGTCTACAATGGAAAATCACCCTTTTGCATCTCTTAGAAGGTTCCATAGAGTGGATTTTGCATGTTCTCTGCTGTTCCTGCTAAATTTAATGTGAGGGTTGGAGGTAATGCTTAAAAATTGGACATGTGTTTGAAAAATGTGCAGAGGTGGTGGTTCTCTCAAGAAAAAAAATGAAAAAAATGAATGAAAGCAAAAGAGAGTCACTACCCAAAATTCTGAATCATGCTCGTTAAGTAGTGTTTCTTAGCAGTCTGGCTTGGAAATACTAGCATTTTTGTGACCTCCTTCGCTCTTGTGCTCTATAGAATTTGAGTAATGCAGAATGGCAGAAAGGAAGTTACTGGTTTGTTTGACTGTGATTGTGTTGGGTTTGGAACTGTGGAACCTTGTGCTATGAATACTTCCACCACCTAAAAGGCCTTTTCCCCATGTCCAAGACCCTAGCCAGTCATCAGAACCTGTGTCTAAGACCTCCGGATTAGTTAGTGGTGACACCCGATATGTGAGCTCTAACACTTAGAGGCTGCCGTCATGGTGAAGAGATGTTAGGGATTGAGAGTATGAGTATGCACATCTTGCATCAAAATTTTGTCCTGAACCCACTGGTCGAGAGCGAGTGATTTATGTCCTTAAATTTTTCTACACTCTTTACCCCAATGAGGACCTAGATTGCTCGGTCTTAATTCTGATATATCTTGAGCTTTGTGCATGAAGTGACTTTATTGAATAAGTGGTTGAGTCAAGTCTATGTTGGTTGGTGAACAGAAGGGAGACTCTTCCTTTGCTCGACTTTGCTGCACTCGAATGTCATGTGTGGTGGTTGTCCAGGTTGCTGTTGAAGTTGTCCATGTGTTGATGTCTAAAAGCCATTATGTTTCTCGTGTTTCGTGCCTATATGATATGTCCCTAAAGCCTGCTTGATTAAAACATTGTGAGCTTACCTTGTGTCTGACTTGGTTTGCTTGGGGACAAGCAAACGGTTAAGTGTGGGGGATTTGATGACTCGATATTTGCACATGTTTTCCCCTTCGTTTCTTGATCGTTTAAGCTTGCATTATCGCTTCTTTGACCTATTTTACGCTAAATTGTGTTTCTTTGTCACATTTCAGGTCCCAAGCGTTGAAGGAAAGGCTAGGTGCAAGTTTCAAGTCAATCGGATACCAATTGGCAATTCGGGAGAAGAAACTCGGGCATGAACTGAAGAAGAATGGATTTATACCTCATTTATGGACAAAGAATTATGCAAGCTTGTGATGAAAAGAAAGAGGACGAGACTACGAGCGTCTGGGATCAAACGGCGACTGATTCGAAGTCCGAGCGAGGGAGAAACGAAGCATTGAATATAAGGGAACATGTTCGGCAGTAAAAACACGACCGTGTTTTATCTGCCCCCCGCTAGTGTTTTTACTGCCGAGGGCGTGTCATGAGGGCTGCTGGGGGAAAAACACAGGCGGGAAAAAGTAAAACACGGCCGTGTCCTCGACCGTGTTTTGCCCATAATCGGGGTTTTGAGGCAGATTCAAGCCAAAGGAAAGAGAGAGCTGGGTTTTGGTTCCCAAACGCCCAAGGGACAAACCCTAGAGAGAGAGAGCGACTTGGGAACATTCTTGGAGATATTTTGGAGGATTTCTTCGCCATTGGAGCTCGGGAAACAAGCTTGGAGATGGAGATTGTAGATCTATATCAGATTTCTGCAGTCTCTCTCTTCTCTGTGGAGTAACTTCCCTTTACTTAGGTTTTGAGGAACCCTAGTTCCATGTGTTAGGATCTTTCTTGTATGAAGTTTTGGATGCTATATTGTTTGATTATAATCGATTGAGGCATGATTTATTAAGTCAATTGAATCCTGATCAAATTCTCTTGATTTTTGCTTTAACCTATGATAGATAGAATCTGATTAGGTTAAGAGAGCTTCCTTGATTGATAGTGGTGAATTGGTTGTGCGAGAGTCAATCAATTCACTGCTTTGTACTGGAATTCATTCCAGTAGTGGAGATCTGTGTGAATGGCCTTAGCAGTCTATCTTGGTGAAGGCTAGTCGCCTGCCGGGTATTCTGTCTAAGAGGGCTTGGTCAGCTTAAGAGATTCCAAGCTAATTTAGGATCTTTCGCAGTTTAATCAACAGTAGATCAACCAAAGGTAATTGCAACTTGGACCTAATTGAGGAGCTAGGGGGAATCATACCTAAGTGAGTTCCCAACTTGTAATAAATAGAGTAGTTAGTAGAGTAGTTTAGTAAATCAATCCTTAATCTAGTTTGCTAGATAATGAACTGAAGCTGAGTAATAGTAACTCTAGAGACCCGTGGATTCGATATTTATTACTTGTGCCACTATACTGCAGTCCCTTTCATTGGTTACACTTGGCCATTGTTAGGTGTTGTGTTTTAGGAGTTCTTTCGGAGTCTTTACACTGATGATATCGAGGCTACCCCAATCCTGGATCGTGACTTCCTGATCATTGACACTCCAAGGTGGCAAGGTCTGGCCCTTCCTCCCTTGCTAGATGAAGTGCTCCGTTCCATTAAATCCATGGGAGCTATGAAGTTTCTTGGGAAGGATGGTATGAATCCTTTATTCTTTCAGAGGTGTTGGGCGACGGTGGAGGAACTCCATGGTGAAACTGGCTAAGGACTGTTGGGAGGAGCCGAACATGATTCATACCATCAATTCAACAATACTAGTCCTTATTCTGAAGGTCGCGGTGCCCACTCTGATTGAGCAACTCGAGCCGATTAGTCTCTGCAACGTGGCATATAAGGCTTTGACAAAGTGTCTTGCAGAAAGATTGAAGCCACTTATGCCTCGCCTGGTCCATGAAACACAAACTAGCTTTGTGTCGGGCATGCATATAACTGATAACATCTGCATCCTGCAGAAAGTAGTCCATTCCATGCGTGCCAAAAAGGGTAGATGAGGTTGGATGATGTTTAAAATTGATCTTGCCAAAACTTATGACCGATCCGTTGAGACGGGACACTTTGGAAGCAGTAGGAGCCCCAACAAGCTTTGTTGCAGTTACCATGGCGTGTATTACCTCAGCTACCATGCAGATTCAGTGGAACAACGGACTCACAAGCCCATTGTCACTTATCACTATCGCGTAGCCTTAAACAAGGATATCTTCTTACACCTTTACGTTAGGTATGGAGCTATTAAGCCATTTGATCAATGCTTCAGTGAGGGAAGGCCATTGACAGCCTATTAGACTGACCAGAACTGGGCATTGAGGTCGAGCCCTTGTTTTCCCTCCTCTCCCTTGGCAAAGGAAAGCGAACAGAAATGGGGAGAAACGCACGCAGCCATCTAGAGAAAAGGTATTATAAACAGAAAAGTCTTCTACTCCACGCATTCGACCATAAGAATTTCCATCCATTTCTAGAATCCAATGACTTGAATCTCTCACTTTCCTCGTCCATTATGATTAAGTTCATTCAAACCCCATTAGATTAGTCCAAAGAAATCAGTCTTTCATTTTCCCAGGAGAAAACCACTTCAAATTCCAAATTTGCCCACCATCTTCTGAACCATCCTCAAAAAAGTGCCCTCCACATTACAGTGAACGGCGGCGTCCAGAATGTCCAGAAATGTCATTTCAGCATTCCTAATGCCAACAAACTCTGGCCGGAGTCAACAAAAAAGAACCAAACAAAGAGCAGGCGTTTGCTGAAAACCGGTCGCCGGACCCACCACCGGCCGGACCCCCTTTTATACTTGAAAAATGAGCTTTCCTTCCTCCCCAACGGAAACGCCCATATAAAGTTCTCATTTTTGCCGCTTACGCATACGAGCTCTGTATATCTTCTCTGTTCCTCATTCACACAGTTGGCGCCATTGCCGAACTCTCTTGCGCTTTTTCCTGCGCCTTTGACCTTTTCCAATCCCCTTCGATTTGAGTCAGTCCACAACTGCTAGCCTTCGAGAATCAGATAAGTGATCTTGGGCTCAGTTCAGCTCACTCATCTAATTCCACATTTGGTAGATTCCCGATCACGACGGCGCTTGTTGCGACCGCTTCGGATGGACGCTTCGGTGGAGAACGGTGGCTCCAGAGTTGAGGCAGCTTCGGTTGGAAAATATGACAAGGAGGCGAGTGAGAGTAGTGATCAGATTCACAAGCCACCGACGACTGAGAAGGCCGATGTAGAAATGAAAAAGAAGAAGAAGAAGAAGAAGAAGAGTAGAGTATTCGTGTATAACCTGCCGAGAATCGGATGTTTGAGAGTGGAGAAGGACGGGGATGGGAACTTCGATATGGAGGTGGTGGATGACGACGGGACTTCTCCGAATCCGACCCATCTTGTTATAATGGTGAATGGCATCATCGGCAGGTCAGTATTTCATAAGTTCGTAGCCGGCAATGAATTTGCTTGTTTGTTTGTACGATTTCAGAATCTCAGTGAAGCCGCACCCAGAGATTCTTCTGCTTCCCTGACCTGATTTTGTTCTCTGGAACTTTGCAGTGCCCAGAACTGGAAATTTGCTGCCAAGCAGTTTTTGAAGAGGTATCCACGAGATGTTGTTGTTCACTGTAAGCATTTCCCCCCTTACATAGAGATAAGAATTCGAGCTATCGATTGATTATGTGGGAACTTGTTAACTAGGAGCTGACCTGTTCATTTCAGTAATTGGAAAGTTGGATTCCAGTTTCTGCTTGGTACTTCAGTTGCTTGCAATTTGATCTGATCTGTGTATCATTTGCTTTCTCCCTAAGTACGTTACGTACCTACTTGATATGAATGGATTGTGAATGATCGAAATGCAGGCAGTGAACGCAATTACGCAACTTTAACACTTGATGGGGTTGACATAATGGGGGATAGATTAGCAGATGAGGTTAGTTTTACTTTCTCAACTTAACCAGCATTTTCCCAACTCCATTTCCTTTTACATTAGCTTGAGAATCTTTGCCCGTTGTATGAAGGTGTTTGTCTCAATACAAGAGCGTTTCTTTGGTTCAGGTTCTCTCAGTTATCGAACGCCATCCATCTCTGAAGAAGATCTCATTCATTGGTCATTCTTTGGGAGGGCTGATAGCAAGATATGCTGTTGGTAAGCTTTATGGAGTTGAACCTAAGAAGGAAGTTGGTCAAGACAATGCAGAGAGGAAGAATGAAGCTGTTGTAGCACGAGAGAAATCATCAGAAGGTGAATTCAGTGGCAAAATTGCTGGATTGGAGCCTATCAATTTCATCACCTCTGCTACTCCACACCTTGGTTCAAGATGGCATAAACAGGTGATACAAATAAATCTCTTTGCTCATTTCCTTGGTTGAACTCTTCATAGCCTTCCTATGTTTCATGTTGAAATCAAATGCTTAGTTTGGTGATGCTTTCAAGCTACCCTGATACTCCAAGTAATGTTCTTGGCAAGCTTAGGAAATTTCTGCTGGTGGATTGCTTATGAAATTTCCACTCTAGGATGCAAATCGTAATGCATGTTTTGTCCCATATGAATATGATCACCCAACAAATTCCCTTTGTTGCTTTTTCTTTTGCCTCTTGTCTTATTTGAATTTTTGAATGGTGCGATTGGTACTTTTAGGTCCCCATGTTTTGCGGCTCTTCCGTTCTGGAAAAGACAGCTGCTCGACTGGCGTGGTTGCTTGGTAGAAGTGGACGACACTTGTTCTTAACTGATGGTGACAAGGACAAGCCTCCTCTTCTTCTTCAGATGGTTAGAGACACGGAAGATCTTCGGTTTATGTGAGTTTTCATTTCCTCCACTTCTTTCTCGCCCGGTTCAATAAACACCACAGTGATGATGACAAATCATGAGAAAGAAATGCCTCACCATGTGTTATCTCTGCGCAGGTCTGCTTTACACTCCTTCAAGCGTCGTGTTGCATATGCAAATGCACGCTTTGACTGTATCCTTCAGTTTGGTTCAGAAACAACCATCTTCAGACAGTCCACATAGATCATCTTTCTGTTCATTTGGTTTATCAAACATCAGTTAAAGAATATGAGAGTGGTTCAGCAGCCACTGTAAATTTCGTTGCTTAGTTTCTATACTTGTGAATTTTTTTTGGGAAAGACTTGACTTTTTAATTATAGCCCTTGTTGGGTGGAGCACATCATCCTTACGGCGTCGACAGGAGCTCCCTAAGGTATGGTGTTGTTCTGCACGGAAGTTTTTGGGTTATAGCGTCTACTGTCACAGAATCTCTCATTGTTTTCCGATTATCAGAGACGGCATCTTAAGCGGGATGACAACTACCCGCACATTGTACGCATGGATCCATCAAAAACTTCAAGCCCTCCAGAAGTTATTCCAGATACCAAAGATAATGGCCGTGAAGATATAGACATGGAAGGTTTGTGCTAGCCCTCCTCTAATCGTTTAAACTTTCAACTAAGTTAAAGAACCCTGGCAACTACTCTGTCATTTTCATCTTAGTGGAATAAGAATCTTGCTACTCGCACCACTTGCAGAGGAGATGCTCAGGAGTTTGACGAAAATGAGTTGGGAAAGAGTAGATGTCAGCTTCAGTGGAAGTAGACAGAGAATTTTTGCTCACAATACCATTCAGGTGATAACCATAAATTCTTCACTAACATGGTCACACAAAGCTAAGAGAACCAGGGAAGCTCTGTTTTGAGAGAACCACCTTCACTAACATGTTTTGATTTCATTTTCTTTGATCACTGGCAGGTTAAAAGCAAATGGATGAACTCTGATGGTGCAGACGTGATACAGCACATGGTCGACAACTTTCTCTTATAGAAGGAGCCCTTTCCTGCCCTATCCATCGTTTTAACTTAGTTGCATAGGAAAGCCAGACCCAATGGAGAACTGGGCGATATATGCAGACGGTACACTAGGAAAGCACGAACGAGTTAGAAATGAGAGACATAGGAAATTCATTTAATCTTTGTTTATTGTAAATGAAGGAAACACGAGAGGAAATAATAAAGAGCGGGCTGTTTCCTCTTGGCTCCTCCATAATCAGACTGTTGGTGACAGACTCTTTTGTCTATTAATTATTCGGTGGCAAATTTGTCTTGAACATCTGCAAACTTGGCTCTTCAAAGCAGCAAATGCTTGCACTTGCAGCAGGACAAATTCTACCACTAAACTTAAGGAGGGATCACGGATGATCTTATTATGTTCAATCTTGGTGTTCCAGTGCTCTGTACTGTAAAAGTACTATTGATCACATGTGGCCGTCTGCGGGCACAGTGTATAGAACACAGGTCCATGAATGAATGAATGAATGAATGATTGCTGCCATTTCTGCAAAGCGAGCATTTATCATGTACAAAAATATGGTCCCTATTGATGGGTTGTTGTTGGCGGATGGAAAGAAACGCACGAATAACGTTTTGGCTGGTGGTGGGCAAAGCTCTTTCGAGGCCAATCTTCATTCTAAACGGCGACCTTATGAGGAGGTAAAGAAATTAACACAACTCTCTGTCTCTGTCTCTGTCTCTGATCTGATGCATTCTGGTTTTATGGGTAGTTGGGAAGTTGATGACTGTGGAGGGAATGTGCGCAAATGGTTAAAAAGCGCCCATCTTGATATGGGGTCTCCTTTCTTGCTTCACCTTTTTTTCAAGAGAAGAAACGGTATAGCGCGCTGGGTGACTCGAAGGACAGGACGTCTATCTGAGTACCAATCAGAAAACGGTATACTGCTGCAGTCTGCAGCTGACCTCTCTCCCTCTCTCTCTCTCTTCTCTGTTTCTTGCTTCCTCATCTTTACCTTCCACAAGCTAGATAATTGAGTAGGTGGTGAGAGATTGGAAGGAAGCCCATCACTCTCTCAGTTTACACTTTCCAAGCTTAGCCCAAAAGAATGGCCGGGACTGGAGTTCTGAATTCTCAAGCAAGCTCTCGATGATGATAAAAAACCCCATTCTATGAGGCTACAGATGAGATGCCTACCCTCAAAATAGTAGTAGCATCCTTGGGAAACAGATACAATCTCAAAAGTTATTATTTTAATGCTTCTCATTCCGAGGCAGCGAAACCCAAAGCCAGGAAGGAAGATATCTTGAAAGGGACCTCTGGCGTGTGATCTTGTATAACTGCCACCAACGGAGACGGAAGAGAGTGTGGGGAAAAAAAAAAGAGGAAGAGAAAGGGAAAACTGTTCCCAAATCCCAACCCACTCCCTTTCAGATCTCAATAATAATGGTGATGTAATAATCTCAGAACGCAAACGTGTGATGGGGGCAGACAAAATGAAAACTAGAAAACGGGGAAAACCCATTAGTTAGGCAATAATACAGCTATAGCCTAGGCTGACCCTGCAATTCTCATCTCATGCATGTCTCTTCCTCTTCTTCTTCTTCTTCTCCAACTCCTCCATATATACATGTCTGTTTCTCTGGGTTTTGAGTATTTGTCTTTGTGCTTGTATTCTCCTTTCCTCTCTCTCTCTCTCTCTCTCTCTCTCTCTCTCTCTCTCTCTCTCTCTTGGTACTATCGTAATAATACACGAGGAGTAGCTTTCTTTGGTTTTTGTTTTCCCTCTTGGCTGAGTTGGGGTTTAGAGGTCCCTCAGCCTCACTCGTCTCTTCTCTTTCTAGGCTGGTGTCTGCTGCATTACTCTGTTTTCCCCCACTTACACGTTTGAAAGCCTCTCTGTTTAATTATACAAAAGGAGGAGTGTAAAAGGGAAGATAGATTCTTTGGGGGAGGGAAGGTGGCAACTGATCACTCTTCTCTTTTGGGTTTTGAGGGTACGCTTTTTCAGGATTCAGATCTCTGTTTAGTCCTTTCTTTATCTAGCTGTTTGTTGCCACTATTTACTCCGTGTGTCAACCCAAACCCACCTTATCCCTGTTCTTTTCCCTCTCTCTGCTTCTTTTCTCCTAATATATATCATCCCATTTCTCAAGGCTCTCTGAACTCAAACAACACCCTCTCACTCTCTCCCTCTCTTTGCTTCCTTCTCCGCCAGTGGAAAGATGGGCAGTGATCAATTTTGCTTTTGTTGCCACAGAAAGAAGCACTTAATCTTTTCGCTGCTGGTTCTTCTGATCTCAAGCGTCATCCTTGTCAGATTTCAAACCGAAGGCAAGCGAAATTTGAATCCACACTCCACAAGTAAACCTCTCCGGACACCATTGGGCTCACTCTTTTTGTTTGTTGATTTTTTTTTGCAGGAAGAGCAATCAGCAAGCTGCTTGAAGTAAATGGAGTTGGAGAGGAAGAAGGGAAATTCATGGTGAGGAGTAAGACAATTGGATCGAGGCCGCCAAAGTGCGACAACAGATGCGGCTCCTGCGGTGGCCACTGTGAAGCAGTCCAAGTCCCCGTGACGACAATGCAGGGGAGAAGGCAGGGGAGGAGCAGCCGTTTCAGTGTTGCCTACACCTCCAGAGGTGAAGATTACTCCAACTACAAACCCATGAGTTGGAAGTGTAAATGCGGAAACTCCATTTTCAATCCTTGATTGATCAATCTCTGGGTGTAAGTAGATCAACAGCTGTTTCTTTTGGTTGGTGAGCAGAGGGAATGCCCAACTTCTGCTAATGTAATGTGGATAAACAATGACCTGCTAAACTGTATACTACTCCGATTCCTCTGCCTCATATCTCTATATCGGCTCCATGGATTCTCTGTCCATTATGGTGAAAGCATATTCATATTGCTATGTGGGTTTGCAAAATTTGTCGCTTGTTTCAACTCTTTCTCTGTTGGCGTTCGCTGCCTTATACTCGATGCCACCCGGTGCTCTGTTTTTTTATTTTTATTTTGCCGTTTTCTAGTTTGTAACTATTTTGTTTTCGGAATTTATTCCCATAACTTTTTGGTATGATTCACTTGGATATATAGAGGCGCGACGGAGTAAGAAATGTGCTTGCTTCGGACTTACCATTGCAGTTAGTTTTCCTTCTTTTCCGAATTGTCACCTCGGCCTACTGCTATTGAGCAGCAAAGCCCACTCAATTGACTCACTTTTCTTGCTCTGTTTTCGGCTCTGACGTACAGGATTCTTATATCTTGTGTTGATGGATTTTATGATAGAACTTTTCAAATGGTTAGATCAACACTTATTAAGCTCTAGGAAGTTAAGGCTTGTCTTTGTCAATGTCCAAAACTTTTAAAACCAATGTCCAATAGTTGCATTTCTTGTATTCTTTAGAATGTATCCTCTCTTTAATTTTATGCACACAATTTGTATATAATTTGCTTGATGTGATGTGAATGATTGTATAATTATACTAGATATACCCGCTCGCTTCACGGCGAGTTGAAGATAAAATGGTAAATGTATCTTTATGAAAGATTAAGTAAAATGTAAGTCGTTCGACATAACTCTAAGAACTCCATGAAGAATCACTAAGATTTTGGAGGGAGAGGTTAGTAGTAATATGCACTTGCTGGTCAATGAATTTATAAATTAGAGGACATCGATATAATATTTGGATCTCGACGATTGTTGCTTAGAGTATTTATGATTTTAACGCGTTAATATTGAAAAAGAAAAAGATGAAGGAATGTAGCATTTGGTTCCTTTGTGTTTATTCCACTTTCGTCATTTTAATGGACAGTGAGAAAGATGTAAGTAAGAATGGAAAACCAAATCCAAATAAAAAGTATGCATAATCCTAAAAAAAAGTGAGTACAATGACTGATAACCAATTTTAGAAGATTTCTCCGTCATTTTTCCATTTAAGCTCGAACTCAAGAGAGACTAAAGATGTAAAACCAAATACGAACAAATAGATCAATGATGCCCTTCTATTATACAGTTATATGCTTGATTTTTTTTACTAAGATTTTAGTTTCTATATAAGAAATATTTTCAAATTTCACATAATACAAATTTTCAATCGTGTGATCGATAAATGAAACAATATAACCTAAGGCCTAAATAAGAAAATTTGTTTCTATTCACAAATAAAACCATGTTGAAACTACTTAGTCAATCTTCCATTAGAACAATATACTATACATATAAAGTATGAAATTAAATTAGACTTGGTGGACAATGAGGTGTCATATTCCAAATTGAACTCTATAAAAAAAATTGAATAGGAAATTCGCAAAAATTGTCAATTGATAAGATTTTAAAATTAAAATGCAATCTTGTAATGTGCGTGATCAAAATACGTATGATCAGTCGAACTTAAGTTGAATAGTCGAAAAACTCACAAGTATTGTTAATATATAAGAATTCAAAAATTGATAAGATTCTAAAAGAAAAATTTATTGTCAGAATACGCTTGCTCGAAGTACGTGTGATTAGTCAACTTTGAGTTGAATAGTCGGAAAAATAAAAAAGATTGTTAATCTAAAAATTCGAAAATTTGAAATGGATCATCGCAATACACGTGAATCATGATTGGAATATGCGTGATCAATATAATCGACCATGGAAAAACTCACAAGAATTGTCATTTGATAGAAATTTGAAAGCAAAAAATGCATCACCAAAATACATGTAATCGTAATACGCATGGCCGCTGGGCGTATGTAAATTCCTTAATCTCCTCTAGATGGTAAATAATTAGTCAACAATTAAAGAAAATTGTCAACAATTAGAGAAGTGGAGCTTTTCTAGGTCAAATGAAATTGCCACTAAAGTTCATTAGTAACTACAAAAACTCAAATTAATGAATAGTAGATGTAAAACCATCTATTTTATAATAGAAAATAATAATAGAATGTTTAGTTGAGATTTGTTTTTTACAAAACCTGATTTTATTAAAAACTTTTGCAAAAGAGAAGGTGCAAGTGTGCAACCAATTACAATAGATAAACCCACTAAAAGAAAGGAATAAAAAAATGGAGTAAAAAAAACTCCAAAACCCACACTAGACCATACTACCCAAAACCACAACCAACCTTAAAATAGGCTCATTTCAATCCAAGCCCCAACTCTGCCACAGTCACACCATCCCGCATTAGGGATGGTAATGAGTCAGGTTTTGCCAAACCTAAACTCAAATTCATGGGTTTATTCATAAAAAAAACTCGGGATAAAACATACTGGGTTTGGAAAATTCAAACCCAACCCGTTGGGTATCCGCGGGTTCATGGGTACCCATGAGTTTTTGTGGTAAAAAATTTACAATAACTAGTTTCTATCAAAATAAAATTCAAACATCAATTTCCTCATACAAATTATCCATATATAAAATACCAGTCTATAAAATTCAAACATATAACAATTACACTAAATAAAAGCATATACGGAATAAGTGTAGTGAGAGTTAGATTGAGGGAAATTATAATTAGATAGGGTTTGGGGAGAGTAGGGCAACAGAATAAGTGTGGACGGGTATCGCTAAACCACACCCAACCCAACCAGGTGAATAGTGTACGGGTTTAAATCCGAACCCGACACGAAATCCGTCAACGCAGTTTTTCCTACGTTGACCGAGTTGGGTCCGATAGAGAACTCCGCTAGAGAACCCGTAAATTCGGGTTTTGTTGTCATCCCTATCTCGCACCCAAAAATCTACACCCCACACTTTGTTGTCCCTCCTAGAAAACGATCTCGCCTCCCTCGTCGGCCTCCTCCATGCCTGTGCTTTCTCCTCTCCTCTTCCATGTCTTGCCCACCTCTGTCTGTGATTGTGAAGAAAGAAGACGAGACTGATGGCCTGGCCGAACTAATGGTTTGACTTCAATTGATCATGAGCCATAAAGAAGTCAATTATGTTTGGTCCTCGGTCAAACCAATGTCAATGTTCGATTTGAACCTAGTTAAACCAAAGGTATTTTTTTATCCAAGTCGAACCAAATGTTGACCTTGGTTTGACTAACACCAAACAAAATTGATTTCATTCTAATACATGAGAAACCAAAGTCAATCTTTGGTACGCCCTGGGTCAACCCAAATTTTGTTTCGGAACATTTTTTAATTCTAAATATTTTATCTATCTACTCTATACAAACATTTATTATTTTCTTATTAACAGAAAAATACATCAGTAATGAGATTTGAATCGTGGTCTATTCGAACAAAGATAGGAAACATAACCAGTTATAATACACACATTTGTGTGATCTTCTTCAACTAAAAACATACAGGAAGCTTAAATGTGAAAATTATAGGACTTTTCCACCACGGTTAGCAACCGAAATGTCATTGATTCAAATGTTGCATATTGAATTGCACTCTTGAATGTGTAGAAGCGATGTAGAATTCTTAACATAGGCTTAATTGTTATAACTACCATAAAGTAACAGTATTTTTAAACACAGAACTTTTGAGTGAATATGTGGCACATGTGTCTTTAAGAGAGGGGTAAATATGGAAAGGTTGAGTGATGTTGGTTTGCCGAACGCGGATGGAAAATACACTTCTAATGTAAACGGGCCCAAATAGTGCCCCGACCCACTAAGCGCTCAACCATCGTCGTCTCTCCAAACTTCCCATCAGACTCAACAACCGGCTAACCTCCTCTACCTCTATTGTTACGCTAGAGCAATTTTTGGAGGGGTAAATATGGAAAGATTGAGTGTTGTTGGTTTTCCCAACGGGGATGGAAAAGACGCTACTAATGTAAACGAGCCCAAATAGTGTCCGACCCACTTAACACTCAACTACTTGGTTACTTTTGCTGCACCTAATATAATAGTGACATGAGAAAGGTGCTTCCCCATTACAAAATCCTTGTATCCATAGCAAAAGTAGGAAGGGTAGATTCGTCTTCACAATCATTTATTATTTTCTTATTTACAGGAAAAATACATAAGTGATGGGATTTGAATTGTGATCTCTTTGAGCAAAGGCAAGAAACATAACCAGTTACACTAAACAAATGTGTTTAAACTTTTAAATTAAAAACATATAAGAAGTTTAAATCTGATAAATATTTTTTTGTCTAAACCACTAACTTCCCATAAATATTTTTTTGGTATTTGATACTTCTATTTTCATACTTTGTTTATTTTAATTCAATTTTAATAATTAATTCTAGTTCTATTTATCTTATAAAAGGAGAATAATTTTAAAATCCCAAGCCTAATGTCATTGGTGCAAATATTGCACATCGTATTGCAATATTGAATGTGTAGAAGCGATGCAGAATTTTTGACATATACTTAAATAATATAACTACGATAAAACAACAATATTTTTGAATATAGAAGTTTTGAGTGGATATGGGGCACACGTGTCTTTAAGAGAGGGGTAAATATAGAAAGGTTGAGTGATGTTGGTTTGTCGAATGCGGATTGAAAAGACGCAACAAATGTAAACGAGTCTAAATGGTGTCCCGACCTACTAAACGCTCAACCATAGCCATCTCCCCAAACCTTCCCACCGGACTCGACAACCGCCTAACCTCCTCCATCTATATTGTTACGCAAATCAATTTTTGGAGGGGTAAATATGGAAAGGTTCTTGCTTGGAGAGCTGACTGGTGGGTTATTTAGCTTCTTTGACAGTAATGTGTGATTCCTTAACATCAGTTCATTTGGTTGATCTTCTATGTT